TATTTATGTCTTATAATTTCTTTGTGTTTAATTTTGTTCTAACTTTTATCACTTTCTAATTTTGACTATTAGATTGGATGAAGGCTAAAAGCTATGTTTCAATAATAACTTAAATAGTCAGTGATTTTCTTTTATTTCATTATATCCTTAGAAAAAATGGAATTCAGGGAAAGAGGCAAATAATCAAATTCCAGTTGGATGACACTTGAGATTTTTAAATAAATGCTTAGATTATAAAGCAAACTCTTTTATTACTCACATTGTGCCAAAAGTTCAGTAAGTGGTCTTATTATAGTTATATCCACAGAAATTTAGTTGGAAACCACACAGTCACCTTACTTGGCTTAATGAACACAACATAAAACAATTATAATTCAGATAAGTTTATTTCTTAATTTCTATTTCTATTCTTATTGTCTTAAAGGAAAAAAACAATACTTATCTCTTACTATTGAAAGATAAGCATAATTGAAAAAGTAAATTTATGCAAAATACCCAAAAGTTACATTGACAAAACAAGATAATTTGGGCATCAAAAATAAATCATCATTTTATTGATAAAAGTTGCCTGTTTGCAAAGTAACTTAAAGTGAAAATCTAATATCACTCAATAATCAGACTAAAACAGAATAACCAAAACTAAGAAGAAATTCTGACTCCTTGGACAGTGCAGAGAAGCTTCAGGAAAATCAAGAAAAACATATACATTAAACCACATTTGAACTTCTATTAATAGGGCAAAAAGGAGGACAAAAAAGTATAGGATGCTCTCTACCTCTTGAATCCTTTGAAAAGATTTAGTTTACTTAAGGTTCTAAGATTTTTTAAAAAGTATTTTACCAAGCAGTGACTTACTTTTATTTTAGTGAAGTAATATCAAATTATATAAAATTTTTTAAAATTATTATTTATAAATGATAATTATTTTATTTTAATATCAGTGAGTATGGAGCAGTTACAATGTGCTAGGTAAGTAGCAAACAAATAAGATAATCTAGCATATATGGTTCTCATATTGGAAAAGTTCACAAGGTAGTGTATTAATAATTTAATAAAGTGCATGTTTATGTACAGTTTGAGAGAAACTGTCACGCTAAGTTATATGCTCATATTCAGGGGGCATAGCCTAGAACAGTAAACAAGAAAGGTCTAGGTAGCTACAAAGAATTTCAAATACTCTGGCCTTGCAAATGTAAAGCTATATGGTAAAGACAAGCACCAAAAACACATAGAAATGCAAGATTACACAAAAGCTTTAAAATGTTTCATTAAAAACACATTAACTAATGAGTTGACTTAAGTACGATTTCTTCTTATACTAATTGAGTAATTTCTAGTTATGGAAAGATTAATCACCAAGAGAAGGTCAAATATGGAGAAAATACTCAATATCCAGTGTAATTAAACATGCTAAATCCAATGAATATTAATAAAAGGAAGATTAAGTACAGAGACATATGTAAGTATGGAATAGAGACATACATATTTATGCAACAATTTCTTTAAATTTTTTTTAATTTGGGGAGGTAATTAGGTTTATTTATTTATTTTTGGTAGAGGTACTGGGGATGGAACCAAGGACCTCATGCATGCTAAACACACACTCCGCCACTGGGTTATACCCTCCCCCTCTACAATTTCTTAAAACAAAGGTACTGCAATGGGAGTTAGACTTGCCAAAATTAAGGAGAGGCTCACTTGACCAAATACAACACTTAACTAAATACAAAACTATTCCTGCAGTTGGAGCTTTCTTTAATTTCTCTCTCAGTGTCCTGAACTAAGAGGTTGGGGAATATTGGCTTCAGGAATTTGAACTCACCAGCTCTATGGTCTCCCGTCACGCAAACCTGGTACTGGTAGCTGTGGGACAGGGTCCCGGTGCCGCTGACGTCCACCAGGTGGCCCGGGAAGGGGCCCTCGGGCACCGAGCAGCGACCCGCCCGCGCCGCCCCGCCCCG